TGACGGGTTCAATGTCACATGGTTTTGGATTAAATGTGTCGTGGTCAGCACTTAGGGTCTGTAGTGAAATGTTAAAGGGTGTTTGTGAGGGGGGGCAGGTGCCTTCACACCTGTTGCTGACAGACACACATACCGCCTGAGGCCTCAGCTGGCTCTACATGTTAACGTCAGTAAAAGTATTCCCATGGCCTCTCCCTTAGAGTTTTTGTTATTGTTTGCGATCTTATCAGGCAAAATACTTTGAATGAATGCTCCTAAAGTAAGTCATTTTGGTTACAATTCACAATTTTGCTCTTTTTAAATGCTGTAGCTTATCTTACGAATCTATGTCTGTTCAACCACCAACGTTTAAAGTTTTCTATGACAACGTTTAAGGTTGCAGCAAAACAAAGACCTTTTTGTCTACCTTGTTGCTTATAATAAACACCAGATAGTAGCAGGTGGTCCCTGACCCTCGTGCTTTAATGCCTACAGTACATCCAAATGCTCAGACCGGCCTGTCTCTTGAGTCTGTTTATTTTATCTCCTATCATTCACTGCGCCTGCTAGGCATAACTGGCATATTATTCAAATCCAAACACCACTCTGATGCTGGTCTGGCAAACGTGAGGTGAGGCTGTTCTCTTTCTCTCTCTCTGTCTCTCGAGCAAATAATTCAGCCCTGACAACTGCTGAACAGCTGAGCCGGCTGTCTGTGCTCATGAGCCCTGGGAAGAGGGGCAGACCAGGGTCAGTAAAGTTGTTGTACTGTGAGAAAAAAGGGAGGGGTTGAGGCTCCAGCAGAATAAGATTTCTGGTCTTACCAGCGGGTCTGGCTGCTCGTCTCCTTCTCTTTCCCTGGTGCTTTCTTGCTTCATAAGTGTTGGCACCAATGCAGCTATAGGCACACAGTGGCCGTTTCTCAATGTCGAGTAAACCTGCTGCAGAGCCACTATTTCAAGTATACCACGTCATCGAGTGGCGCTGAAGGACTGTTTAAATGCATGTTAAATGCCCAGCATTCTGCGCCACTCGATGACGTAGTACACTTGAAATAGTGGCTCTGCAGCAGGTTTACTCGACATT